TAATGTTTTTTTCTGATTGTATCACCTAAACGATCGAGAGAGTTGAAGCGACAGTGAATATTGCCCAATCTAACGCGTCCAAGGCTAACCTCGCCTTGAGACCGCCTTTCCAAGTGTATTTCAACTAACTCGGTTAAAGCTATAACTTTGTGCTATGGCCACTGCATCGTCATGGCGCCCCGTTAAAACATAAATCCTGAGAAACCCATTGGACAAAAGTGCTCGATCCTGCACTGCACCGCCATCACTGTTTAAAAGCCAATTCCTCTCTCCAACGCGCATGCAACAGAATGAAAAAAAGAAACATAAATGAGATAAAAAAATGCCATCGTTACTTGTATTTTGTCCCTATTACCCACTGGCCACAGGCTATGTAATCCAAACGCTTTATACATATAAAATGCGACACGTTTTATTTACAACTGTCGAGATGCCTATACCAAGTCTATGTGTCCTTGGAGCACACATGGTATCCTCCATTCTCTACATAACCTCACCTTTTTTTCTCCTTGATGCCTTTTATTTATTTTTTCATCTTCTTTCTTTTATCTCTTCTTTTGAAAGAGTTGAGATTAATATAGTAGTTATTTCATTTTTTCATTTTTACGCAAAACAAAATCAATTTTTCAATTTCAATCATAAATTATTCAGTTCGATGTCGGAAAATTAGAGATAAGATGAGATAAGATAAGAGTGGAAGGGCCGGATTGAAATAATAAACAGGTGATGATTCGGGGATAATCAAAATTTGGAATAGATTTTAAAACAGAGATCTCAAAAAAATATTCAAATTTCATGAAAAAAGGAGTTATCAATAAAAAATTATTTAAATTAATTGAAAAACAATTGTGTGATGAAAAAATTGTTCCTATAATACAAGATTATAATTATCTAAAATCCAGAATCTAAAAATAAAATCACAAAGAGAAATTGATAATAAATAATTGAGATGAAGTGAAATAAAAGTTTCATGTGGAAATAAATTGTTGAAGATTAGAAAGAAGATAAATATAAATATAAATAATCCCCCCCAAATCTGATAAATATAATTTTTGCCTCAATGCAAGAAGTGATATTCCAGCGATATATCTATGAGTGTAGGATGAAAATTGTTTATGCAAATGAGAGAATGAGAATTCAGACAGATGTTTTCCACTTGTTGAAATTCCACTCTGAACGTTGAAAAATCAAGAATAAAAAAATTGTATAAAAAAATGATGAAGAAAGCGTCATGTTGGTCGTGATGTGGCATAATCATGCAGTTTTGTTTGAATTTTTTTGAGTCTTCAGTCTGATCTAAACCGAGGACGGACGTCCCGTACTAAAACCGGAATTATGTAAGACCACTTTCGTCGACGCCTCTCACGTTTCGTAGTTATTTGCTCTTTTCACTCTCTGAGCCATTGAAAAAAAAAGACAGAATGACGAGTGAAGAACGTGCGCTCTTTCAAAGTAAATGGTTCTTACGATAATTTGACTGTCGTGAGTTCACGGGAGAGACATCTTCTTCAAGCATCAATCATCGTTTGTGAATTATCATAAGAATCCTATTTAGCTGCTGGTTATTTCTAAGTAGCTAATGTAAACAATTTCACTGAATGGAATCGAGTTTGAATGCTAATTGCATTATTTGTTCGGGTAATTCAATGGTTTTTACAATATTTTTGGGAGTTTGTCACTTTTATTCAGTGGTTATTTGTTGGTTTTATGACTTTTTTGTTTATTGAAACGAATA